AATTTTTAAAAAAATTATAAAATTATTTGACTGTTTTTTACTTCGATTTAATTAAATCGACAAACTATTATAAAAAATATGTAATCAATTGATAAAACTATTCCAATTAATCAATTAATAATGACTTTTGGTTTATCATTTCTTGATTGGGGTTCCGCCAATTGAGTTTCCTCTTTAGGTATGAAACACAAAATTAATGATGCCTCAAAGCTGAACGTTTAAACACGGTTTACAAATTATATGAATAAGCGGAAATGAAAGATACAGTTCACCTTAGGCTGACGACAAAAATAGTGAGAATATATGTATTTCTGCTTCAAATTCAACAAGTAAAGAAAGTTAAAAATAGAGCCTCTAGTGCCCCGTAACCACATTTCTGGTCAACTCGTATTTGCACCTTTTTGCACTAATTTGAAAATTTTATTCCTTCAATAGATGGAAAATAAAACATTTAAGCAAGTTTTTTTCATTCTTGAATGCCAGATGTCGATTTAGCCGTAATCGCTAGGGTATTATACACTTCTGGCCAAGGTGCACACATGACTTGGGTCGGTTCGAATCATCTAAAACGGTACTTAGCTGCTATAAGCTTGTGGTGAAGTCGGAGGGAGAAGCCGGTGTAAAGCAAGCGGTGGTTGGTCAGCACCGAAGTTGATGGAGCATGTGCAGCTAATTCTAACAGTTTTGCTTCTTAAAAAAAGCTCATATAACCAAGGGTTTGCGCTTTGGAGCGTTCTAATAGTACATTTATCAATACAATTGCTTTCCTTAATATTTAGCAACCCATTCCTTTTTTAATATTTGGAATTACATTGCTTTTTTAATGGTGCAGTAGAATTTGATTTTGAAAATTTGGATTCGGTAGCTGAAGCTACGAGAGAATTGCTCCAATCAGTGATAGAAATGAACTGCAACATGTAATTGGGTGATGGGTGATGACTTTTTGAGGACTGGATGTAATGGATGAATTCTCGACGGGTAGCCAGAGTTTTACGATGTAGATCATTTGGCTTTCAAGAGATCCTTGGACTAGTAAACCAAGTAAACCAAGATATTGGACTGGTTTGTTCAATTGAAGCCAAGTAAAACTTTGTCCATGATATGTGAGAGAAGGTGGATCATTTGGCCTTCAGAGCGTGAAGTTTCTAGCATGCTTATTGTTGGATTTATTGGGATGTGCCAGTTTTTGACAGATATCGATAGGAACCTTCTCAGGTAACTCGTTGGTTAGCATAATATATTTCCACGGCGCAAACGGGGGGTTCGATTCTCGACCGAGGTACATTATGACTGTGCGCTTTTCTTACAAATATTGCAGTATATATTGCTGTGTGACGGTGAGAAAACCCACCCTAAGGTTAAGAAGATCAGAATACACGATGAAGTTAGGAATACACGCTTAACTACAAGAACCCGTTGTCCCATGGGCGATAGAATGGGTCTCCACTGGTCGGACAAGACCCGTAGCGGACTGTCGAACCGAAGGACAGAACAGAACAGGTTTTGATCGGACTTCAAGAATCTTATACCGTAAAATTTGTAGAAACCGGAATCGATTTGGACACAAAAACCTACGGTTTAGGAAGGTTTCCGTTTTATACAAGGTCGTCAATTTTTTACACTTGTGATATTGACGTTTCTGCTCTGAAAGTAGTAAATTACGTGACTTAATTATACTTATCGAAATACATTAACATGTAACGAATTTATGGAAAAAATCTCCAAAAAATTAATATTAAACACTCCTCATTGACAACTTCTGAGTTGAAAAATGTACACCTTACTGCCTGTATTCGGACTACTTGTTGACTATTTCAACGCACATGCGTCACAACCCAGTACTATGACTTTCTGATATTCTCGCATGGCCTTAAGCAATACGTATCTGGTCGAGGGGTTATGATTTTCAAAGCGGGGCAGGGTGAGACATGTATAGAAGCCCGTACATCTTCTCACGTTAAGAGAATCGGGAGACGGAATTCCCCTAAGACCTACGCCTTCAGAGACAAGAGTCCCAAGATCGAATACTACGCTGATTTTTTAAGAACCTCCCCTATCCGACTGCCACGTGTAAATCGCGTGTGCAGGGCTAGATAATTTAAAACACGCTTGCAGATATATTCGTTTTATTAAGAACATCTCGCGTCTCTCTGCCAGTTGCGTTAAATTTACAGAAATTCCGTTTTGTAAAGATTTCCCCCCTGCAGGACATAAAATACGTTCCGTTTCCGAGTTGGACAGGTTCCGTTCTATGCTCTGTAAAATGCCATTTAACTTCACGTGTCCAAGAAATTTTCCGGTTAAGGCAGGTTTCCGGCTTGTACAGGTTCCGGTTTAGATAGATTTTACTGTATAATATTTCTAAAACGTGTCATATAAATATTCCTTTTTCCGAAAAAAACTACTCAATCTCTCTCAGCAAATAAGGTATTGTTTGAAATCTGGATGTCCCCGATGACTGTACATAAAATTTTAATCTGTATATGCTATATAAATATTAAAAATGTAAAAATTAATGTCCATACAAGCGCAAGCTATATGAGACGTAAGTAATCAGTTCTGGCGGTGATATGGAGGCGAAGTCATAGGGCATCTTTTGTGCGCAGTGTTAGATTGTGGAAGTCAGTGCGATTGGAAGTCACATTTGCGTTTTTCAAATGTTTCTGAAATGCTTTGAATTTTTCCAAATGATAGCAATTTTCAAGTGATCGCAGTGAACAAGGCAGAGTAAAGCGGGGTTGCGCAAGACAGCATATTGAGCAGTTCCACGTACGGCAGGGCTAACTAGAGACAAAATTCAATCATTTTCCTGTCTGACTACACAAATATGATTAATAAATATACGGGCAAATAAAATTGAATATAGCTTTAAACTTCCCGTGCAATTTAATCGCACGGATCTCTACTAGGGTGCACATTAAACAATAATTATAATAATTTTGATTATTAGATTATTGCCATACTTTTTCCCGGTCGTCACATACTCGTATTTTTTACGTTTTTTGACGTTCAACAAATACAAAATAAAAATCACCAGAGCTGTTAATATTTTCGACCAAAGATATAAATATTTTTCTTATCCATATGCTTTCTTCGTGGTTTTACCATTCTTTGAAATATTTCCAATAGAACTTTACTTGTGAGAAATGGTATTCTAAAGTACACCCATTCGACGTATTTGTTTTGTTGCAGGTGCCAGGAGCACTGGGCTCGAGGGCAGCCCTCACACAAGGCAACGGTTTCTGGCTCCTTAAGAAGGTTGAGCAACCATGCTGGGATTTCTATGGGATCCGGAACGACTGGGCGTGTTACTGAAGCGGCTGCCTTTCTTACAATCTGGCTTTCGATGGATGCGAGGGTTGCTGTTTGTGTCGCTGTGGTATGGCAGTATCTGCGCGGGGTTGCTTTTTTTGTACTGCCCTTTGCTGCCACTTCTACTGTTCCACCAGCGCCTCTTCCGACAGCTCACCGACATTGTGTTCGCTACGTGGGAGATATATCCTGCGGTATTTTCAAATTTTGATTATTGATATCAATTGTATATTAAATTTAAATTTTTTTTAAGTAGTCTATTTTTCATTAGTATACTGGACTGTAATTTTAATTATGATCCTTTAAAAGGTTCAAAACATCATACTCTATTTCTTATATTATGAAATTTGAATAATTTCAAACGCTTGTAAACCGTTGGTGGTTTTTAAAACTCCTTTCCGTCAGTGTCAGTGCAGTAACCTGGCTACTTGGAGTTTTCCATGTACATGTGTTAATATTTGCGTTATTCCTGAATAGCATTTATAAGCATATTCTCAAATTCGTAACATTTCACGGATTTCTAAATAGTAGGAACCGAATGTTGTAAATATTCTTATTTAATATTTTATCGTTAAATCTACGTTAACTAATGTCGCAAAATCAGTGTAATTCACTTCATGTTTTAAGACAAATTTACTCCTTGCAACAAATATGTGCTGTAACTAAATACTTTCTTACAATTCGCAATAAATGGGCGTTTTTGAAAAAAATACATTTATAACTACGAACCCATATACACCTTTAAAAGTATTCGCAATAGAAAAGTGTGTAATACATTACAATCTCCAATGAAACGTTATGAATCTACTTTCCTCTCTATACAGAACTTTCTCTGCGACACCATTCAATGAAATTTTGTTAACATTCCCGGAAAAATTTACTCGAAATCTGCAACCAATTTAGAATTTGCGCCCTGGAATAAGCCAAAATTACTATGCCTAAATTGCGAATATGAATAAGAGTTCCGTGAGGTCGGCGTCGGATCTCGCCATCGAGTGGGCAAAAATTACTGCCATCGCCAGAGGGGGAATACACTACGCTTACGGGAATAATGACCTTAGCCTTTGACGCGTCCGGAATCACAATCAATCAATCAAAAAAGGGAAATTTCATTAAACGGAATTATACCCCTGATTATTAGGCAACTCCTTATACATAGATGTTCGGCAGATCACGTTCTGACGCTTGCAAGGAGATTCTACAAACCTGCCGTACACTTGTACGAACTGGTTTCCTAACAATCGGGGGCAAACGCCAATATATTTTTCTACATTATATGAAATTTCGCACTACATGTTCAGTGTCAAAAAGTAATTACTCTTTACTCCTCAGAAAGCAAGTCTGTAACATTTATTCTGATAATGTAGAAAAAAATATTTAAAATGATTAAAAATGATATGATTAAAAATATTTCTTCGTTGCGACATTTGGCAGTACAAGTGTACAATGTGCGCGGTATACACCTCACTCCCACTGACACAAATCTCTGAAAATCAATTGCATTCCAGAGTGTCACTTACTATTTCCCTTTTCAGGACACAATACGGTTTTCAGAAAGAGTTAGAAGTTTACTCTAAAAATGGTTTCAAAGGGAATAGAAAGTCTACTTTAATGTGTTTAATGTGTGTATATATATTTGTCGTATACAAAAACGGGCATGAATTACTCATGGAATATTTTTTATACAGGCCTTGCTAGAATGTCTTCTTGGAATTCGCATTGTTGTAAATGGTGATCCAGTTGCTTCCCATGAGCACTCATTGCTCATCATGAATCATCGTACAAGAACAGACTGGAACTTTCTGTGGGCGGCCATGTTTCACGCCAGCCAACCACTTGCGCACCGCATGAAGTTCGTCTTAAAAGATCCCATTCGACACATCCCGGGCCCTGGTGAGTTCGACAAATAAAAAGTTTTATTGCTGACGTACTGATCACTTACACGTTTCTTCGGTTTATTGAAAATATTATTATTATTATTATTATTATTATTATTATTATTATTATTATTATTATTATTATTATTAATATTAATATTATTAATATTAATATTATTATTATTATATACAATAATATTTTATAAAGTACTTTAAACAAGCCATTAAAATTTACCTTTTTATTATTATTCACTTATATTAATATACCGGTGAGTGCTTGAGAAGTTAGCTTTTGAATTTGAAGCGCTAAGTCTTTGAAGATTTTTCAGTATATTAAAACACCCAACATTTAAGCGAAATTGTATTTTAAAATATTATTTTTCCCTCGCCTTTATAAAAATTTTCATTAATTTCAACATTTACTATTGAATAATTTTGAAACTCACAATTCTGCAGGATCGGAGCTTGCATAATACATTTTCCAGCTACCGGAACAGCATTAAGAGTCAATCCATGGGCCAATTGAGATCGATGTAGAACACCCAAAGTATAAAAAGTGAAAAAACGGCATTCCTAAATTTAATTGTTCAATGAGAGTGTTAGGGAAATGTACTATACATTCCATCACATTGTAAAAATACCCTAAATAGTTGAATCAGTACAATGCAATATCAAATATCCGTACAAAATTGACAGATATTCAATTCCGCAATCAAGCTCTATCTTTCTACAAAGAAAATGCTTTAAAAACTGCTCATACTTCTATTCAACAATATATTCTTCCTCGTATTTAAAAAAGTTACGTAATATTATAATATTGTATTTACAATCCTAGTAACACTTTATCCTTGTCTTGAAAAAGCTTAACGAAATGACGTTCGAGACATTCGGATTAGAGATATGATAGAATTAGTTCCAGAAAGGAAAGGAAATATGTTTCTTCTGGATTTACGACGTGATCTTAGTCTGGAATCTTATGTCAGATTTGTACGGTCTGACTACTTGAAGATTGCTTCGTCTATCATCTGTCTCAGTAATTAAACTGTCTCAGTAATCAGAACACCACAGTAATTAAATATCTAATGACAAAGAAGATATTTCATTAAGAAACGAATGATTAGTAAAAACGGTCAGAAATTTCTTTGTTCAGAACGATTTTGGAAAATTACTATCCTAACTAATTACTAACTTAAATACCCCCCTCTCTCTCTCTCTCTCTCTATTTCTAGGCTGGGTCATGCAGCTAACCTGCTTCATGTTCATTCATCGCAATTGGGAACAAGATAAACATTTATTGGCGAAAGCTCTAGACTATTTTTGTGACATAAAGCATACGTGTCAGGTAATTGAAACAATTATTATTTAACCATTTGTCGTTAAAAGGCATTCTAATTGTTATAAATGGGTCCTTCACTTGCAGATACTATTGTTTCCCGAAGGTACAGATTTAACGGAAAGTAGCCGCAGACGAAGTCACGAGTTCGCCAAAGCTCATGGCTTGAAGCACTATACCTATGTGTTGCACCCTAAAACTACAGGGTTTGTTTTCCTAGTGCAGAGGATGAGACAAAGTAAGTCTTAATTTACTTATTTTTGATTGTTTAAATAGTTCGTAAATAATAGAGACTGTCTTTTGAAGGAATTAAAACTGCATTTATTGTTTACTTACACAAAAATAGAGATGTGTCTATAGACAAGATAGCATTATTGAAGCAAAACTAAAAATAAACTTAACATTTTCTTTGAGAATAAAGGGAAATTGGACTAATACCCATCAAATAAAGGACATTGTCGCACACATAATTAATAAGAGTTTTAATGTAAAAAATATATAGAGTATTTGTAAGTTAATATAATGTAATGTTCTTGTTTTTAATATTTGTATACGAAATGCATTCGAGTTGTGTGTTTTGTTTTTTGTCTTTTTATATGTGGGAGCGAGTATGATGGTGATACTAATACTTGACGTTTGCCTAATTCTGATGAATACAACTAGAACGGTGTGTACTTGCTAAAACTGGATCCCTCCCCTCTCTTTCGCGTTACCTAAATAAAGGATGACCCCTTACGAGGATGCCGATTCTTCAATGTGTAGGAATTTACGTCCCATTTTCAAGATATTGAATGGTTTGGAATGTCTTGGTTCTCTAACAGCAGCATGAATGTGGTTTAGAACATGAATGTTAAATATGTAGATATATATTATTTTAACACATTTCAACTTACATGTATAGGATAAAGCGGTTTTGTGGAATCGTATTACTACTTCTAGATTGACAATATTTACCATTCACTCCTCTTTTGCGCCTTTAAATCTGTTTACAGCCTGCGTTTCCTGATTCATTGAGAAATGCAATTGTCGGCCCCTACATACTCCACACAAAATCAGTAAAAGAAAAAAATTACAGTCGTCACGATACTATCAAACCACATAAACACATTGACTAAAGTACGTCACTACAAGGCACATAGCTGGTTTAGAAAAGCACATTAGCCTTGTCATACAACCAGAGCCATCTCTAGGTGGATATTGCAATTACTCGGAAGATGTTTGTTCTTTCAACTTGTATTGGTGCCGATTTACATAATATTAAAATGTCAGAACCGTCGTTTTAAAAATTTTGGTACTTGGTTCCTTTGGCTTTGTGTACGAACCCCGCTCTGCTCTGACCTGCCTCGCCTGGCCCCTCTCTGCCTTGCCTCGCCTTCCCACCAAGTCCATCCTCGATCACCCCATCGTTGCTTAAGCAAGTGCGCTGCTTCTTATTCTCTGCAAACATCCAGTAACAATCTTGACCTTTGATAACCCAAAGCCTAATTGCGCTATCGAAATACATTAAAATACATTTAGTAGGCTTTCAGAGCCGTTGGACGCACTTTGGCGTATTTACTCACCATTGTCAAGATTATTTCGGACAGAAGCAGACAGACAGACGGTCAGAAAAACGGGCAGACACACAGACATAAAAAATGTAAAATGTGAAAGTTTTATATTAGTATGTAAATAACCATATAACCTTTTAAAACCAGCTATTTTGAAAAACCAGCTGATTTTTAAAACCAGCTATTTTTTATCACTAACGGACATTTCAATTTTATGTACAAATCCTCTCGTGGCTCAGAGGCGAAGTCGTTTGCCTTCTACCCCTAAGGTTCCGGATTTGATTCCGTAGAATCCCCATAGAACCTCATGTGAAATTTATTAGGACAAAACGAGTTCGCAAGTTTCACAGGGGCTAGTCCAACCCTTGTGGAATCTCTTAAACCCTACCCCAATCCTAATTCCTTCCCGGAGATACGCGGAGATACTACCTGGCGGTCCTCTTGACAACTGACTGCGACGAGACATGACAGATATGACTTTGAAATATTAACGGAGGATAACTCCGAAAGCGCAAAGCGATCTACGTCCCCCGGGGCTTGGAGACGCGCTGCGTCAATTGAAGACGCAGCAAAGTTTTAAAAAATGTACAGATTCGTTTTAGGAATCGGGTTTCTGCGTTACGTAGAAAAGCAGCCGATCGCCTGACTGCCACCCAGCAGATGGGACTCGAGCACGGGCGACTGATCCTCGCCCAGGCTGCGCGTCCGGGCGGGGGGGGCGGCTCTTGCGCTTCGCTTCGCTATCTGACTTCAGCCAAGGAGCTTCAGTCGCCAGTTTGCGTCACAATAATAGCAGGAATTTGGAACGCAGCTAGATACCAAAAGCATCACCTCCTTGCAAGACATTGAAACAAATCTTGTACAGCTTCATCGTGTTATTTTTTGTTGGTTGACGTTGAAAATTGTCACTTTGTTCCACTTTCAAAATATTTCTCAAAATTGCTCGTTCTCCATGCGTCCGGCGTCTCACATGGCTTTTCAAACGAAGTTCACGTGCTGTAGTCACGTGGTTTGTGATACAAACTGGTGGTGACCAGAACGAGCAAAAATCGGTGCGCCATAGGAACTTACCTATATCTTTCCACCATGCCCCTGCTGACATTCCTCGTCTGGGACAGCTTTCCTTTGTGGAAGGAACACTTCCGGGGATTCTTTTATAAATTATACCGTTCACGGCGTAGGAAGTTGAGCAACTTGGCAGATTTTATTAAATAATGCGAACTTTTGAAAATAAATTAAATTTCCTTCTCGACGAATTACTTGTGCTCTTCTTCATTGACTCTTCTAGGATGAATCCAGTCTCTTCTCTATTGAATGATGCTTCATTCATTTAGTTCCTTCTTTCAGACATCATTTTGAAACAAAGTAATTATGCGAAACACCATCAATCATTTATTTTTTTAAATGTATCTCCTTCTGTAATTGTTATGCAATTTTACATATACTACATTCCTATTCACATTTGAACAATAAAATCAAAATTTTAGTAGTAAAACTTTCTAATAAATATTGTTTTTAATTATTCATCGAGATACATGCTACTAAGATCACACGCTCTTTCCAGTTCTTCTTCATTTCAATTTCCTAAGTTCTTGAGAAGCTGCGTGGTTTCAACTCTATTTTCTCACTGCCAATTTTATTACATTTTATTTCTGGGTGAATATGAACGGCAAGCTTGGTGCTGAAAGGGTGATGTAATGGCTTCGAATGTTTCCAGACTCCATTGAAAGAGCTACGAGCCAGCGATCTCATGCAGCGCACGCTGCTGGTGATGCGACATCGATTACCCAAAATCGATATTAATAAACATCGATATCAAAAATTAAACCATCGATCTTAATAATATATCGACCAATAACCATCCATGTTTTAAACTTTGATGTTTTAAAAAGTGATTGGGTAACTTTAGCTGGTTATTGATTAAGTAAACCTTAGTGATTGAGTAACATTAAATTCGGGCGCTTCAAAATGTAATGACACTTACAGTGATTATTAATTTATAACTAAGGTTTAATTGAAAACGAACTTTAAAAGTAATAAGAATAATGCACTAGATAAAGATAATACAATCAGCGTTCGTTTGGTTCGAATACATAAAGTGGCAGTGGTATCATCAGCTATTATTTCATATTTTAACTTTTACAAAATTATCATTATGGCAATTTTTCATTCTCAAACAAGACATCGAAAACTTAAAAACATCGAGCAGAAAACATTGATGTTAAAAAATATAAGCTATGTAACATTTGTGTTTTGAAGACATTGTCATCGATAACAGATTCATGGGCAAAGGTGGATTAAGGCATTAACTGATGCCACTGTAGTATCTCTGACCGGGAGGTCCTATGGTCCGAGACCCGATAGCGGCAGGGTTTTCGACACTAGCTAGACAGCTAGTTCTAGTACCGTCTAAAGCAGCTGAACCGAACAGTTGTTTTCCGTTGTTTTACCGGTCATCACCAGGCAAATTCCAAAGCAGTACCCTGAGAAACGGGCCACGGACCGCGCGAGATCTTTCCTTCCCGTTCCTTGTTCTATCCTCACCCCTCCCTTACACACACACACACACACACATGTATTACACTACCTCACTTGTTGGGAGACCCGTCGGGAGCTTAGAGCTTATCCCAGCTGGACCGGTGCACCACTGGTTGGAGATACCTAGTTGGGGAAAATGCCCGTAAGGTCGGCCGGCGCCGGATCAGCCATTTCCCGCGATAAAACATACACTACCCTTACGGGGCTAATAGCAGTTGGACCTCCCGGAATTGCTAACCAATGAATCAATAAGAGCATCGATTGGAAACATCGAAACATTGGAAACATCGACATCGATATCGTATCCGGGCCTAGTCTCCACTCGTCCGGTGGCTTCCGGGATTCATAAGCGCCTTTCCGGTCACGAGCTCTTACGATCCTGTTCGGTGGTCACAGATTGCAGGAGTCGATTTAGCAATTTCTTTGAAAACTTGCCCACTGTCACTAATGATAGCAACGGAAGTATTAAATTATAGCACCGATCTACAAGAAAGTCTGGCGAAATTCTAATGAACTACAGCAATGACATAACACAAAATTTAGCTCCAAACTAAAAGAATTGTGGCTAATTTACAGGCAAAATGTCGACTTTTTGCTGCTACACCACTATATTTCGTGCTTGAACTTTAAATCTGCCTCATAAAAAACTTATTTTTAGATGCAACTGATGAGCCAAATATATTATTTTATTTTTAAATTGTTCTTTTTTTTTTAAATTTGCCACAAAAATATTTTCTTTTCGACAGATCAACAATTAGATGCAGTCTACGACTTTACTGTCGGATATCCTTTCCACATCCCGCAACAAGAAACAGACTTACTGAAAGGAAACTTTCCTCAAGAGGTTCACTTTACTGTTAGAAGGTATGTTTAAACTTAAATACCTTTCCGTCGTTTTTAAAATATATTTTAATTGTAAACTGAATATTGCTTGCAAAGGTTTGCAAATTCAAGCTTGCCGGGTGAAGATTCCGAACTCCGTAAATGGCTCTCAGACGTATGGTGTGAAAAGGAGAGAACTCTGCACGATTTTTATTCCTGTGGACATTTCAAGCAAAACTTTCCTCCGGCAAAGTTTCAGAAGGCAGACACACCAACCAGTCTCCCCGACTTGGCGTCAAACGAAATACCCAGTGGTGCTCTCAACATCAAGTCCAGCTCTCCTGAATATATGTTGCCATCACCAGACTATTCTCAACTTGATTCAGTACCTTCTAGTTCTAATACCTCATCTTCGTACAGAGAAGAAAGTAATATTTCAAGGTCTTTCAAAGGACAACCTTTGTCTCATAGCAGTGCTCTTTATCTGTCTCTTCTTTTCTGGACATTGTTGTCACTGTTGTTAGTTTTAGGTCTTGCACTGTCTCACTTAATTCGGATTTGGGTAGCTGTCAATTGCATTCTGTTTGTGACATTGTCTATTTTCACTGAAGGAACACATCTAATAGAGATTTCCTTGTTCCGTTTGAAACAAAAGTATTTTGCAGGGTAATAATTATAATTTTAAAAATAAGCAATAAATTTTGAGAACATACTCTTTCTGTATTAGAATGTAGACAGTTGCCATTGCATTCATTACATTTGTATCCACCTGCTCCCTACTATTAGCATTATAACATACACGCACATATTTTCTGATTACGAAACAAAATTTAAATAATGGATTTTACTGAGAGAAAATAAACGAAAGTGATTAAGTCGGCGTTTTGTGCATATTCTCGGCTTTTGACTAATTCCTTCAGAACTGGGAGCACGAAAATATAACGAACATAATGCTTTCATGAAGAACGCTTAACGTACGCATTTTAATGTTAAGTATGACAGCTTGTCCAACATCATTTTGCAAGTGCATATAACGAGCGGATTTCATATTCAACACTCATTAATTTGTATTTTCCAAAGCGCAAATTGTTCTTATTTTACAATGCGTTAGTTTTCGTGAGATCAAGTCCTACTATAAAAAGTATGTTTATGAAAATTCAGAGACAACATTTTGCGAGGAGAAATTCAAAACGTTTTGGTCGAATATGTCACATTACAGATTTTGTAAAATGTCACAGGCTACACTCAACTCTTACTGCGATACGATTTTATTCGTTTTCGTGATTATCCGAAAATATTTCCGCTTGAAAGTTTCGTGACAAGTTTAGTTGCAGAAAAAATTTGCGGGGGGGGGGGGGAATAGTCTTGCCTCATGTCCCTCCTCGTGAAAAATTCGATGACCAGATCATTATCTCATAGAAACAAGCGATTAAAAGAACATGTATGCAGTTATGAGTTAATGAGAGAAAGACACTCGTACAAAAAAGCGCCACTTAATATCAAATTCATTATCATCATTGACAAGTATTGAAGTTAAATATCGTTTTTTATAGCCATGTAATACACAGGCAATTTCCCTTGCTTAACTCTTCTCCGGATGAATTCATATATGTACTGTTCTTTTTACCCTCACGCTTACTATTTTTCAACAGAAAAATTTCTTGGATGTGGATCTTTGATATCGTGGATCTTTGATATCGAAAAAGTTATTTCTTGACCCTAAGTATAATAAATAACTTCCTGTAACACGTTGGTCAGTCTGAATCCACGATTTGCCCTTGTTATTAAAAAAAATTGTTTGTGGCTACACGTCTGTGAATGCGTCTGTGAAGTGCGCTAGCTGGCTTTCAAAAAAAAAATTCCAAATTATTTCTTTAATGATTTTTTCTCAGATAAAGCAATGTACGCTAATAAAAATGGCACATGTCCTATTTTCATTAAACCTGTAAGTTGTAGAAAATTACAAAAATTAAAATTTGTTGTCTTCCTACAACTATAATATCGAAGACAATTTTTTTTTACTTAATGAAACCTGTTCTTCAAAATGAGTTCTTTAAATGAGGTCCTGTACATGTTTTCAAAACATGAGCGTTCGCATGATTTTTCGTGAAATAAAAGCAAATTTAGAAAATAATAATTTCTCAAAAACGGCTTTAAATTATGTCATTGGTAAAATAAAAATGTCGCAGGTCTGATTTTCGTTAAACTCTCTGAAGTTTCGAAAATTGCAAAAGTTACAAATAAAGCGAGAAAGACTGTGCTGTTGTAGCACTACGATTCCTAAAAATATCTTCATATTTTGTGAATGCAAACTCGTTTTCTAGATAATGAAGGATTTTAATTTGTTCTATTGATTTTTTGTCTACAGTAGGTTTTTGAAAATAATTAGTAAGATGTTTGACCATTATTACTTTTATCACAGAAAATATTTTGATAGATTGTAATTTTTTGAAATCAATGGCATCATTTATAGTAAACAAATTTGCATTCGAAACCAAAAATTTGTGCTGCGCGAAAGACGATTAATATTTAATAATAAAATGAGTTTTCTGGGACACTATTGAGTAATCCTGACATTATCCGGTCACAAAGAGTCAAGAAAGCGCTTTTATCTTGCTACGAAGTAGAGAGAAAGTTATGTAATGCTGCGCGAAAAAACGCGAATTTTCCGCAGGAAAACTTTTATTCCAGGGCCCTGGTATCGAAAAAATGGATAAATTCAGCTTGCTAAATTTAGAAAAAAAAAACTTTGACACATAGTGTAGCCTGAATCCATGTTTCGTGAGTTCTTGATATAAAAAAAATTAAATGACGGCTAAACACCTGTCTGTCCTGTGAGTAAACCTAGCGGTTAAATCGTTCAGACGGTTCTTTCCAAAATTGATATTCCCCAATCGATCTGGCTGATGTCGCGGCTCCTTTAATTTGAAAACGATATTTCAATTTTGAGGGGTACTTTTCATGAAGCCACTGGGACATTTTGAAATTTTCAGAAAAAAAGGGTCCATTATTTTCTATTAGATTTTGTTGTTTGATAGTGTGAAGGACGTTTAAGAGAATGGTGCAGGTCTCAAGTTCATTGAAAACCCTGATTTTTCAAAAATTGCAAAGGTTTAAACTTGATCCTCCTTGAAGATAGATTTTGAAATAAGGACATGAACAATTTTTCCAAAATTTGAGTACTATATTGAAATTACAGGCGCCAAAGTATGTGCTGTTTAAGCACCACTAGTTTTTTTTTTTTTTTTTTTTTTTTTTTTTTAATGCCTTTGTAGCATATTTCTGAAAATTAGCAATGTACTGCCATCATTTCACGCCTTTTCATTTAAATCATTTTATAATCACTACAAAGAATGTATTTGTGTGAAATGCATTTCTGTGTATTTTTATTTATATATTTAGTTGTCGAGCAAAACAGTAAAAATGCAACGTGGAAGGAAATTCAAGTTTAAAAAACCAATTAGCTGAAATAATACAATTGTTATAATACTCTACATTGGTATAAAAAATCTACATTATTTTAAAAAGGTCCACAATTATTGTGGACTTCTTCTTCTCTTTTTCCACTTCAAGGATAGACCTATGGCCAGTTCTGGCTTCTTATAATTCCATGTTTTCAGTGGTCTACCTAGGTCTCTTCTGTCTTGGGGCCTGTAAGCCTGCTTTGGAATGCGAGTCTGTTCCATTCATCCAATATGTTTTAACCATTCCGGACTATAATATTGTACTTTGTGTGAATGTTTATTTTTTTTTAATTTTTTCATTTCTGATATTATCTAGTCTCGTACATTTTTTTACAGATCTCAAAAACTTCATTTCAGCAAGCTGTAACGTTTGTTTATCTTTCTCTCTCAGAGTCCAACGAACAACAGAGACTTGACATCCATTACTTTATACATCTTCATTAGGGTATGTCTGAGTGTTTTATCTTTAAGAGTTGGTCAAATGGAACCATATATATTCTGATATTTTTGGATTTTTTCAACTATATCAACTCCTGTGAAGTTACATCATAGCTCAAAAGTTTAAAATGGCCAACTTGTTCCAGTATCGTATTTTCAAAAATTATTTTTGTGTGCATAGGATGTTTTCCCGCAAATGCAATTGTTTTGGGCTTTCTTTTTGAAATATTTAGATTATATCTTTTGCGAGTTTTGTTTATCTGATGAACAGATCTCTGTAAGTCATCCTGACATTTTTGTATTATCATTCATTAGCGAATAGGAGACTATTCAAGTACATTCCATTTTGAAGCTTAATTCCTGGCCTAATTTTGTTCTTCCATTCTCTTGACATAGTGCAAGTATATGTTAAACGATGTTGGGAAAAGGCTACATCCTTGGCGAACTCCTTGGTTTGTTTTTATTTCTTTAGAATATTTTCCTTCTAGTTCTAAAATAACGGAGGTATTCTGATACAGAGATTTAATGTTCATGATTAAGTGGTGTTGGTAGCCTCTTTTTTTCATAATTTTTCATAAAGTACATAGAGCGTTTCAATTTATCAAAAGCGTTTTCTCAATCAATGAAAGCTAAGTAGGTCTCTATACAAAATTCCCTACGTTTTCCATTACTGTCGGATGGTTATGGTTTTGATCTTTACCCTTTTTTCTAGATAGTCGCTAGTGATGGTATCTTCGATCTTTTGTGCAATTCTGGCTTGATACAAATATTTTACACCCTCTTGTCGCAAGAGATTAATCTTAAAGACTTCTGCCTTTTTTCTGATTGTGACTGTAGTTGTTCGAATATTTCTTTTTCCATCATGCTATACCTGATTTCAACAAGTAATGGTCTGAATTTATGTCACTTCCTCTATATATATACTCGTGTATCTCTCCCTTGACTTGCGAATTTCTTATTCACCATTATATAATATATTATTCACCTCAGACTTCTTGCCGCCCACGTATACTTATGAATATCTTTCTTGCAAAAAAAAGGATTTGTTTTCTTTATGCCGTTGTAGATCACAATTCTCTAGGCTTTCGTCCATTTCTATTCAAGTGGTTTTCTCCAAAATACCCAACTACTTGAGAGATAGGTATATTACCAACTCTGGCATTGAAGTCTCCTGCCAATGTTATGTATATGTATGATCATTTTTATTGGTTTTATGGTAATGTTGTTGAAGTTCATAGAATTCTTTAGTTAGTTCTGTCCAGCCTTTCTCAGCAGCACATATGCCAAATTTAAAAAGGTATCCCCTTTCTATTTCTAATCGTACAATCAATATTTTATCATTAACAAAAGTACGACTTTTGATTTTGTTTTTTTATTTTTTACCTATAAGAATTGCGACTTTACTTGCTGCTCTTTTTCTTTGTTCTACCCACTATATACGAGAATCATTTCATTACTTTCCGAGTCTTTTGTTCCTTTAAGTTTCTTGTTTCTGAAATGATGACTATATTTATCCCTCTCTCTCTTTTAGTTCCCTATCTAGATCTATTTCTTTTGTGCCCAGACTCCCTTATATTCCAAGAAGCAATCTTTAATACATTAGATTTATTCAATCAAAAAACAGTAAAAACTGTATGTGACGTAAGGGGGAGATTATCTGCGCACATTTTCTTGAGTTCCAGAATCCCCGTCCCGTCACTTTAACTATAAATAGTTGAAAGATGAGTAAACGTTTAACATAAATAAAAATAAATTTTTAAACTTGCAAGATTAGCAATATTTAAAAAGAGTCATTTTCGTTTCTGAGTTATAGAAAATTTATTTGCATTGGTACATGAATTGCTAGTATGATTTTTCTACATTGCTAACAAAATAGCAACTCGCCCTTACCTCTACTCTTACCATTACAAGCAAAAGGAGAATTCAACAAAACGTGCGTGTAGTAAAGCTACATTTAAATTGAGATGGGGATATATCCTTTATTACTTATCTCTTAACTTTCTTATCAAATTCGTGATAAGTTAGCTTGAAGCTATATTTTTGTTCGTGGAAGGGTTACCAGCCCTTTGTACCACTTCCAAATAGGAAAGGGTCTGGATTTTTCATCGAGGTTGGCTCCCCTAATCGACTTGGCTTCCCACCGCCTGAAGAGCCTTGCCTGCCCTTCCTCTCCTAAGCTACAGAGCCCCTTCGCAATCTTCGCTAAGCCGAAGGTTCTCTATGCATAATTCTCTTCTGGGGTTACCCCCTGGAGTTCTCTTCTTGGTGTTGAGGTTCTCCTGTGGAGTACTTTGTCTGACCCCTCTCCTTTGACCTGTCCCTCAAGGGAGGCACTACCAATAACCGCCGGCATAGCTCCACCCTCAACGCCAAGGTCCCCAGGTGGAGTGTGTACTTCTTTAGAAATAATGTTGAGTTATTTTTTTTGTATCAATGTGGAGTGTTAAAATAACGTAGTAACGTAGTGTACAACTTTTGTGAAACACTCGAAATTTACCATCTCAAATTCTACAATATGCTGACAAGTCCAAAGAAACCTATGGATTTTCTGAAAAAAATGATATATTTTGAACTTTAAGGTTTATATTTTTAATGATTTTATCAATCATAAATGTATACATATTTTCTCTACCATATTTTAATAGAAATTTGTCCCTCCCCAATCAGATATCAACTTAATACATAAGGAAAATAAAGACCATTTTGTTTTCATATATTTAAAACTTTTAAAAGAAGTCTGCTTTTACAATATTGCTTGCATTTGTGTACAGACAGATAAAATAATAATAATAATAATAAGAGTGCATTTTGATAATTTTTGAAAATGTAGCTAATGCATGTCATATGCCTCATAAAACTGATTATTTATTAGCGTATACAAAGGGCACAGATAATTGTCCTAAATAATTTTCAAAAATACTTTTTTAAATTAATTACCATCAAATATTCATCAGATGTATGGCAATTTCCAGCATTATTCTTTTCCAACCGAAAAGTATTGTGTACAAATACACTAGTTTGTATTAGGATTGTGACAGTTTAGTAGATATTTTATTCATATTTTGATGAAATGCCTAAAATTTAGGCTTCTTTCAACAAAATTGCTTATGCCTTTATTATAATGCAATGGCAATTGTCTCTTACTAAGAACTATAATTTATTATAAAACAAGTCTTAGGTACTGTAGGTTTTTAAAATATGTCTCCGTACTTTTAAGCAGTGCTTTTACGTAGTTTTATATTCATATGTTTGAAAATTAACAAACGATAATGATTTGTTCACAATTTCTACTTTGTTTCAATAAATACTTATTGGGTGGGGTTCATTAATCTTCAGGGAATTTCTTAAAAAATCTCTTTTTACACTAAAACCGATGTGAAATGGTTTTGAAGATGATTAGACTGATATTAACTGAGAAATGGGTATTTTAACTAGACTTCATAGTAATAAATGGAAAGCACTCTATAGCATGATACTATGATGTGTTCTGATTACATGCCCCTTAATAATGAATTCATTTTGTTCTCAGCTATTCAATTTTCTTGATTTCAAAATACGAAATTAATTTTCAAGAAATAAATTATTGTTTGTTATTAATTCTTGTAACACAATTTTCCAAAATATCAAAACTCTGTGTGTGAATCTTAATAATGGAATTTCATCAATGTAAATTGTCAGCAATGATGTTAGTATTTTAATTATATTTAAAATAATATTGAGATATCTACAGGTAGATTTCTCTGTACCTTTGTGATTATTATTCCAACTTTACTGATAGAAGAATGAAATCCCAGTCAGCAGTAATGTTAGGCAGAGTAAGTCAGGCCACCATTTTTAAAGAGATATCACAGAATGATAAATTTCATAGAAGCATAGAAAAAGTATCAATAAGTTAACCAGTTTCAAAATTTTATTAATAAAGCAAAATAAAAAATACAACTTCCAAATATTTAAACAATGTATATTGTAATGTACCCAATGTCACTACTACAAAATAGACTTGCCTCGTTATATTATGTACAATTTAATAGAAGAACGGCGATTACATGAATTGCCACCTCGGTTGACCCAAAGTCCCACACTGCCCTCAAAGCATTTAACTACTTAATGATGTCTTCCTATCATTTAATTTTTTTTACAACACTACACTCCAGGTGGGCAGAATAACATCAAGTACTGGTAACATCAGATCTCATTACCTTGAATTTTCATATCATTTTCATTAATTTCAGAGTTTTCATTGATGAACTAAACAAGATACATTAATAATGCACCAACAGTTATAAAAAAGGTGATTACAGCTGAATTGCCTTTTTTCTTTGCAATTAATTCCATAGGCATATGTTTCTCAGAATATTTTATTCACTCAAATAAACAACTCTTTCATCCCGAATATCAGTTCAGAAGTTGAAAATAAATATTATAATGTTCATTTAAATGCGAGTCTGACATTAATACAAAATAATGTAAATATTTCAACAAGAGAAAAGCACTGCTTTCAAGAAATACAAAACAAGGGAGGCAGATTCATAAAATTCATAATTTAATTAATTTGATGGATGTAAATAAAGATGAATAATCAATATTTTTAAGTTTTTATATATGTAAATGGTAAAATGGCATTTAAACATATTCAGAAAACTGAGGATGCAATGTTGAAATTAATGCCTTGTAATGTCAATTTTCCAACATTATTCTTATATCATATGTCTCTACAAATACATGATCATAACTTCAACTCATCTTTTTAAAGACTGTAAAATATGTAAAATTATTGTTAATTTACATGTGATTATTTTCGATATTAAAAATCACTGGTAACAACCTGTATATAAGTATTTTAAAATTATACATTTAATAATTTTCTTGAGGTTAGAGTGTTGATTATTATGAAGACTAGAATGTCTGGATGTATGTCACAGGATGAATGATGAGGATGTACTGAATAAGAGAGCTTTTGGCTATATCTTTGTACCTTACTTGCAGAACTGAATCCATAAGACTATTGATAAGTACTCTGAGGCATGTTGTATTCTGCAAAATTATAATTTTTATGAGCAATCATATTGTGGGCAATGTTATCTGCATACAGTTTAGAATAGTTTTCTATATTGACAAGAAAAAAATCACAAGTGTAGAGGTATTGTAAATAATTCCTTTTTAGTGATATTGACAAACTGAATGCTGATGAATGAAATAGGTACAACTCATAATATTCCTACAGACTATTTTTCATTTTCACATCTTGCAATGATGCCATGACTCCATTCAAAATTCAAGTCAACCTGACAACATAAGAATCATTCCAAACATAACTTTGAGAATTTGAATTTATTCAAAACTCATTCAATGTAATTTTTGTGATATCTTAAAAGAAGTTCACATATTTTTGTAGCTTTCTGCATGTTGCATGATTGCATGAGGACGAAATCTAAGAACTGGTATAGTTTTCGCAATGGATAATTTCTAACTTATTGGAAGAGATAATACAATATAGATACATTCTTTTGTTGAAGCAAATTTTGTCATTGAAAGTTCTACAATGTTGTTAAAATATAATTTTTTATTAATAGTGAATATATAATTTAAATCCTTATAGATGTACTTTACATGTTTAGAATAGTACAAATATTTAGTTATCTACATACATATTAGCAGATGTACATTGTCAGACGTCTTCATGAAGCTGATAACATATCCTCACATTCAAGAGAACATTATTACGTATTGACTTACCAAGAATGGAAGCAGAAATGCAAGTAGAACAGTTAAAAAAACTAAATCAAGTTAATAAGGGGTTACACTAATGGAGATTTTTAATAGTAAATATTAATTTTTAAGGACACTAATATATACACTCAATGTATTTTAACCAACAATATAGTTAAATATAAATAATTTGTTAGTTTTGTAATGACCACATACAAAATAGTCTTTATGTTCAACATCATAAAAAACATAGCATATCCAAATTTTCAGTGTCAAAAATCAAACTTATGGTTAATAATCAGTACTCAAAATCATGGTAGCAATAAAAATGATCTGAAATTGTGATGTTTTAGGAGAAATTACTAACAATATGCTGTTGATCTAAGTGTAATTTAGATTCTAATTAATACGAATATATATTAAACATCACAAGTTTTAGTTTTGCAATATGTGTGACAAAGGTGTATGTAATTCCAAACACCAGTTTTCAAAAGTACCACTAACAATAATAAAAGATACAATTTAGTACAGTTGTATGTAACGAAAAGAAAAGAAAAGTGTTGGGCTGTATTTGAAACATGGACATTGTGTGCCTGTCTTTCTATTTCTTTTTAATACAAGTGAATAACTACGAATATGGAAAATTCTTTTTATTTTTAAATTATATGAAATTACTAGGTTCAATAGTGAGATAAATCTTAATTCTTTAGCTGATAAATATACTGCTCTTAGATAACAGAACCTTTAATCACATATTTATTCCTAATTATGTCTCCAACTGATCTCTTTAGAATACTGACTTGGATTTTTAAATTACTTGCAAGCTGCACATTAATTTTTTGTAATAGTTCACATAGGCTCTTTGACTGAAATTGTATTTAGTGATATTGAATCAAACACACACCTCCACAAACTTACATTGAATTATGCTATCATCTAGAGAATAAGAATGTGAAAGAGTTTTTAAATCTTGTAAATATGTACCATAGTTTGAACATTGATGTTAGACTTAACATTAATCACAGTCTGTTGTAGAAAACTGTGAACCTCTTTGTCTACTTATTTGTAATATCTATGTATAATGTATAAGAAAATGAAAAAAAAATTGACTCCAGATGATGGATATAAAGAATAATTGAATGTTTCTCATATATATCTCATTTTTAAAATTACATGTAAACAAGAAAATTATTTTTGAGATAGTGATATAATGAAGTATTTTTCTGTAATTACAACTTTTTGAAAAAAGTTGTCTGTGAATTCAATGTGCCAAAGAAACCTGTAACAGATAACTAAATGAACCAATTATATTGGGAGAGCAAAGGGATGAAATGACGGCAAATTGTTGTAAATATCAATGAAACAAAAATATGTCTAAAACAACAAAAATTTTGTAAATAGACTATATTTTTGGCTTGTATGTTGTTTATGGTGATGAGAAATTAGTCTTAAAAATTCCAATACTGCAGCAAAGGACAGCCATAACAAAATACTACATAGATATAGAATATGCTTCTTAAATATATTATCTATGTAGCATTTATTACATAGATAATAATCTGTAGTGAATTAGTGATTTTCTTCTTTTACCGCACCCTAAAAATAAACCAACCAAACAAAAATATTTTATTTCCAAGAGTGTTCGAACAATTATCTTTGTGAAAAAATTAAATACAAAAATTTAAGATTTCTTGATGTAAAAAATTGACTACAAAATTATAGATAATTAACATTTAATACTTCCTCTGGACTTGAAGTTCAAAATTTGTTTGAAAGAAAAGATATTATGATTAAACAAACACCTAATCTTTTAGTTCTTCAACTGATATGAAAGGTTTGGGTAAGGACCAAGATTAACTGTACTAGACACAGCAGGTCTCCTGTGACTATGAAATGTTAATAGTATCCAGAAATTGGTTGAAGTGTGTTTCATCTTCACAAAAAGTCACATTTTCACAAAAATCAAGATTTGAAAGATTACAAAAAGCAGGAGAATTACTGTGGCTTTTTCTTGTCATTACTCCAAACCTTTCAAATCTTCATATACTTTTATTTTTTATAAGATAAACACCTTTTTTTTTGTTTGTTATTTACAACCTAACTGCCAAAACGTTTGTGGCTGTTAAAAAGTTTCATAATCAGAAAGCTAGAAAACAAGTTAAGTAGAAGGTATAATTTTGTATTCCAATTAAACTAAAGATGAATGCAATTTCAGTGTTATAGTAATGTATTTCTTTACACCCAATCTTCCTGTTTATTAATCATAAGTAACTAATACAGGTATATAAATTGCATGTCTTTATTCAGCGATTTTATGTTATTCATTCAATGGTATGAATTGTTATTTCATAAGATCCTAATGATGGTCATGTAACAGATCATTCATCTGATTGATTAAAGAAATTAAGTATTTTATAAAGTGGAAAGTGTTACACATTTGTCATGATAAAATTCGTTAGATAAAATTGTTACATAATAAGGATTTTTCTAAATTATTTTATTTTAAAAATAGAAACAAAACATACACTTTGTATTCAACAATTTTGATCATAACAATATTTACATTTTAACAATCAAAAGGATACTTTCATAATAATATGGAAAATCTACAGGCAAGAGACAAATTTAAATGTAATTTTCATTATTATCAACAGCTGTCCACTTCAAAACCAATTGATACTGCACTAAAATAAATATTAAATTTTCCTGGAAAAATCAACTTATTCCACTTAGTTCCAGCCCGTGAAAACAAGAACATATGTGAATATTATTTTACAGCAATCTCGGTCGGCGGTGGCCAATCTAACATGATTTCCTGAAACAAAGAAATTAATAATTTGTTATAATTTCCGATAAAATTAGAATTGAAATAAAGACATTAGTATATTTATTAAATAAATATATTAAATTTCATTGGTAAATGTAATGCCGAGAAATAAGTCTAAAATGAAAGGTTGTTAAACTTCAAGGAAAGAGAAAGGAAAAAAAAAGTCTGGATGACAAACCAATCAATATCTATTATTACTACAGGGAATCTACAGTTTCATTCCACATTCACATACATCAAGTAATGCAGAAAAATTATGAAATAAAGTAAGAAGTTTAAAAATAGTTCTACAATTTTATTATTTCTTTTCATAGAAAATAATTAACCTGTGCAAACATCTATTATATGATGAACACAACATGAGAATAAGTTTTTAAATCCAATTATGGGAGATGCCAAACTTAATTCATGCTTGCTTAATTAATCTTTAGCACATTGCAAACTTTCTAGCATCATCACAATATGCATGAAATTTTCCCAAAACAAATTCCAATTTTCTATTCCTTTTTTGGCACTTCTGCAATGACTGACCCAAAATTAGCATGCTGAACTAACAAAGAAAATTTTCAAACTTTTTATGCTATAAACCAAATAGCCCATCATTTTGACGTATACTGGAGCCTAGGAAATGTAACAAATGTATAAATTTGTGTATAGCAAGTGTGTATTTTTTACTATTGTTATGTAAGGATGTCTTCCATTATTATTTTTCTGTTACATTTGTCAAGTAAGAGTCATTAAAGAGTTTCACCCTGAAAGAAGTTATGTTCATTTACCTGTCCATCTTTTCCCATGCTGAAAAAATAGATATGATTCATGATTGTTTCTTTCTTTCAATAGAAAGAAAGTGCTGCTTGTTGAAACTGATGTTCACAGAATACACATTTTCAAAATGCAGGAAAGCAAATTGGATACAATAAAGTTTAATGGGTACATAGGTTAATTGGATCCACTATGGGTTCATGGGTACATTAATTAAAAGGAATTTTTTTAAATATTTTTTTTTAGTGTTTACTTACCTCAACATCCAAAGCTAAAATGTCTATATTAACACCACCTAAGAGCAAACCTAAATTCGGTTTTGTACGTCCAAAATCTCCATGCACAAACTCCTTTATGTATGTGCCTGCCTGTACAACAATATCCAACTTGAATAGTGACTTGTTCTCAAAGCCTGAAATAACAACACACTATAAAAGTGATATTAGCAAACAAGGAATGATGATGATGATGATGATGATGATGATGATTAGAGCCCACAACTTCAGGTATTTATTTTACTTAAAATAGGCAGGCAAAATGGCATTTATTTTTACTAAAATAGGCATGCAAAATTGGGAATGCAAAAAGCATTAATTCTGGCCCAATTAGACGTTGCAAAAAGTCGTTGTTGAAAAGAGGTTGTAAATGTCATAACAAATAACCCTCTAAAAGGAATGATTGTAAAAAAATTAATAATTCAAACTATTTCTATTTTTCTTACTCTAATATTTACATTAGCACTTACATGGAAGGAAACAATAATTTCTTTGTAATCTTGATTGCACAAAATGACTACGAATTGATTCAACTCACAACACACATTGTGAAACATCTGTCCTCAAAAGGGATCAGATGCTGTACTCAAATGTAGGAAGGAATTCCTCGCAAGTAAACAAAGCCTGACAGCTTTATTGAAAAAACTCAAAATTCTTGACTGGTATCATCTTCCTTTCTCATTTAGTTTTTAATACTACCTAACCCTGGAACCTCCACTTCCTCAGAAAACAAAACACGACCGTGCCTTCATGTTATTCAAGTTTGCACGTATGATACTAGCTTGAAAGTGGTGCCAGGAGAAATAAGGAAAACAGTGATGAAAAAGTAAGGTAAAAGTAGAAATATGGCAAAATACAAAAAAAACGGCAACAAAAGTTAAAATAGGCAAATTTAAAAAAAATTTAAAGAAAGGGCAAAATGAAAATTTATTACACCTTCAGAAGAACAAATAAGCAATTCCTATTGTTAAAAGTCATAAAATCTTAACAATAAACAAAGGCATTCTGCCATACTTGTGGCCTCTAATGATCTTGACTGATCAACATCATTATCATCATTATAAGTTAAAGCTAGAAGAGTGATGAGAGGCAGTGAATTCCGTCTTAAACAAGGTGGTACAGATCTAGATACTACTGTAATCAATCATATCAAATATACAACTGGATCTCTGGTATCTCACAATTTAAGGGCCAGCCAAGAACATTGACGGCGGGCAGCCAACAAGAGTAAACAGCTCTGTACCCCTATAGACACAAAAACAATGAAACAGATACACGACACGCTTAGCTGCAGCATCTTCTACACAAATGCACACCTCTGAAGTTCAACAAAAAATACAGCATGTTGAATCAAATTCCAAATTCAAAATAATACCACAAGGCTAAAGGTAGCTGAGAAGCTAAAAGAGAAAATCCCGCATTGGCTTACACATGGCATAACGTATCTGTTACCCAAAACGGGAGACAGTTCTTTGGCAGAGAACTACAAGCCAATCACTCATTTGAAAATTATGAATAAAGTTATATGTGCAGTCATAGCTAGCAAAATGTACAGACACCTAGAGAAGAATTATCTGTTGTCAGTTGAACAGAAAGGGTGTTGTAAAAGTTCCTACAACTGTTATTAAATCTTGCTACTAAACAAAGGCTTCTTGAATGATGTAAGGGAACTAAAACGTAATAGCTTGGATTGACAATCAGAAGGTTTTTGACAGTGTACTACATAATTGGATTTTGAAGACCCTGAAGATCTATCGATTTTATCCAAGACGTATTTAGTTTTGCAAGGTTAGTATGAAGTTGTGGAGTACCAGGTTACAGAGGAAAGGAAGTAGAAACAAGAAGTATTCAGATAAGTAGGGGGAATTTTTCAAAATTTGCTATCCCCTCTACTGTTTTGCAATAGTTTGATTGCACTATCAAGACATTGTTGCACATTGACTTTGGTAATAAGCTCCATGGGGATGATAGACCAGTAACACCTTTGTTTTACATGGATGATCTCAAAGTGTTTGCTAAGAACGAAGTGATTCTCTACCAAATGCAGTCTGTTGTCAATGACATCTGCATAAAATTTGGGCTTGACAAATGTACAAATGTAAATTTACAGAGGCAAAGAGACATATTGATATTCATATGCACACTGTGATTTAAAGATCTTGAGCCAGGTAAAGCTTACAAATATCTGAGCATTGAAGAATGTGAGAACATCTCAAAACACACAATGAAAGAGAGAATTTGCAGAGTATTGCAGAAGAGTGAGACGTCCTGCAGTTCGCTCTGAACTCCAGGAATATAATAAATCCAATTGGTAGTTTGGCAGTGCCAGTAGCCAGGTACAGTTTTGGACTAGTGAACTGGACCAAGTAAGACATTCAAATCATGGATCACAAAATCAGAAAACTGCTTCCAATGCATCATGTCACACACGCTTGAGCTGATGTACAGAGACTTCACATGTCACGTAAGGAAGGAGGAAAAGGCCTCCAAATTTGTCTCCTGGCTTGATGCAATAGTTGGGATGGGTAACTATGTAGTCAGTCATCAAGATGACCCACAAATAAGGCAGGTCATTAAATCTGACCAAAGAATGGAAAACAGAGGTATTGTATGTGTAGAAGTGTATAAATGACATTGCAAAGGAAACTATGAAAGACAGGCAGAATAATACACATACTGAACATCTGATGCTTCTTAAAAAGACATGCGAGACAAAAAATGTTTTAAAAAATCATGAAGAGACAAACCACTCCATGGACAATACCTAAAAAGAATGAAGAAGCTGCAAATCAATAAAGATAATTTATTTACACTGAAACTCCATTTACACACGCTTTGCACTTATATGTTTCTCAAAACTATACGTTGATTTTTGTAAGTCCCGAATAAATTTCTATATATCTTATGCTAAATTATTTTCAATACGCGTTATACATGGCTATATGTTCATAAAGAAAGTCTCTTTAAAACCGAACAACATCTAAATGATGAAAGTATAGGAGGCCAATAAGTGAGAATCATAGAGGAGCCCACGGAATATTTGGTTGAATTCAGTATTCAGGATGTTTAAATTCATAAAAACAAAAGGCATTTCAATTGTCCATTTTGGAATTTGGACAAAACTACAGGATAAAAATATAGGGGCACTAGTGTCATCCAATGCGGCTTTGAACAAAGTTCACCAACATTGCACAATAACAATTCAGGGCATTTAAAGGAAATACTGAAACTCGGGGTATCAAAGATTTATAATGATCAGGGTTAAGCAATCGTTAATTTCAATCTTTCCATGCCAGTTTTGAAACATTGGGGATGTTACTGAAGATCCGCATAATTTTGAGAGTTAGAAAAAGAGTCTACTGCAGAAGTGAATTTCGTCATGAATTGATGAAAGAATACAAATTTTGTTTTACTGCATCATTGTAAATTTATGAAGTAGTCACGAAAAGGAAACAAATGCGTAAAAATGATATAAATTACGCAAAATTCCAGAAAGATGACCTAACAATTGAAAAATAACAAAGAAATTACCTAATAACTATACATTTCTATCACGTATATGTTGTGATAAAAATAAATAAATAAATTACAAGTTAACTACGTCTAGAATGCACCAATGAAAAGATGGCATGTCATCAGAATCCTAGCCCTGATAAAGACATTGAAGTCTGTGTCACATGATTGTTGAATTGATGTGCACCTCCTAAGACAGACCTACATTGACACATGTTGATGCCTGTACACATGAGTCACTCAACACACGTTGTAGATTAACATTTGGAATTGGTAAAAACAGATACAGAAAAATCTGTGGAAGTCAGAATTAATTGGAACACAAAAAAATTTCTGGTTTAGGGAAGTTTCAGTTTTATGCAAAATTGTCCATTTTAAGGTATTTCTAATATTGACGTTTCTGCCCCCAAAGTAGTAAATTACATGACTATTATAATTATCAAAATACATTAAAATGTAATGTATTTATGGTAGAAATTACCAATAAATTAATATTAAACACTTAATTGCAGCTTCTGAGTTGAAAAATACACACCATTCTGGCTGTATTAGGACAACTTGGTGACTCAACGGACAATGTGTCACAACCCAGTACTAAGTGTAAGACGTTCTGATAACCTCGCATGGCCTTCAGCAATGCGTTTCTGGTCGAGGGGTTATGATTTTCCACATGGGGCAGGGAGACACGTGAATAGAAGCCATGCCCATACACTTTCTCATACTCAGTCGGGAGCAGAGAATTCTCCTTTGGCCTAAGCCTTGAGAGGCAAACGACCCCAAGGTCGAATTCCACGCCGACAGCTGAAGGCCCGCTCCTCTCAATGTGTGGCTGCCACAATTAAATCACGTGTCACATGGATAGAGAATTTAAAACAAGCAGCAGCTGCATTCATTTCAATAAGAACATATCTGGTCTCTGCCAATTGCATTAAATTCGTAGGAATTCCGTTTAACAAATATTTTTTTCCTGCAGGACATGAAAAACCATTTCATTTCCACATTGGAGATGTTCTATTTTATGCCATGTAAAATGCCATTTAACTTTACGGGTCAGAGAAATTTTCCTGCTAACACAGGTTTTCAGCTTGTATAGCTTTAAACACATTTTACTGCACAAATGCTTTTCTTTCTATCTATCTATCTATGGTCTTTTGATGAAAAACAAAGTTTTTCTCAAACATACGATGGCATTTTTCTATCCCTGTACCTGTTCAGCAATTTCAGAACAAAGCAATTAAATTTTGAAACGTGGAGATACTTAAACAGGTGGTAAGCCCACCAGTGATGAATAAAATAACCAATAACGTGAGGTTAACAACATTTGAAAACTTGAAATATTCACTTCCAAGAAATAGAAAACTTGTTTGCAATGCAACTGAAATACAGGTTTAATTTTATAGCATTAGTATCAAAATTGCTACTCACACACTGGCATCTACTCCCATCACAATTATCAAAAGGATAGGTAAAAAAATATGCATAGTGAAGCAACATTTATGTCCAGAAGCAAAACATCCAAAAGGTCCATCTCTGTATTTGTTCAATGGTTCAAGGGAAGCTAGATAGAAAACCTCATCTAGTTGGGTGTTACCCACATGCTGAAGTACAATACTTATACTTCAGGCATGCTTTTCTTAGACTTTATTTCCAAAAGTGAAAAATATCTTTAAGGAGACCCGTTTTCAATTAGTTGAAGGAATAAAGAAAAAACAGCATATGTGATTCACAATCTATAAGCTGATCAGCTGTTGCATTATTTTGAACAACAGAAAACTCGTGTAAAAGTTGTATTTAGATAGATGAACGGGTTTATATTTAAGATATAAATTAAAATTTAAAAATTTAGAAATGAAATCCTTTTACAGTGCCTTATTTTCGAACAGCCATACCTTGTACATACAATTACCATTATCTACATGCTGCATATTATATATCTTATGCGTTTTTATTAATCTTGATAATAAAATAGAGATTATTAAAGGGCCAGCTCTATATTGAAATTAAAAAATGACAAGATGTCAAATGAATTGTTGGACAACACTGTTTCAGGAGTTCATCAGGTTTGAGATTAGTTTATATTCCTGAAGTCTAAACGTCTAATGTAGTCACAGGAAGCAATAATCAGCTTCTCAATTAATTTCAAAATTTAATTGTATTATCATTTTACCATCTATGTCATCCAATGGAGTGGCCTTCATTGAATACACTGTTCTATTCCGAACAGCCAATGGGCGTCTATGAAGTACACGAATAGGCGTTTTTTGGCACAATACCACTTCATGAATACTTTCCAAGTTTTCAAGAGATTCCAGAGAGACTTTGTCATAAGACATACAGAGAGCACTGTAACGCTTACGTTTTGCCTCTTCTCCCGCTTTCAAATGATGCAAATCCTCTCTGAAAATACAAACATAAGTTACTAAGAGGTCACCAATAGAAACACAAGAGGAGATTGTTAAGAATATTGTTGACTGCATATATATTAGAACTAGATTATTCACACCCCAAAGAGAACATCTAATTAGACCCAAAGATTGATTGCTACTGGTAGTGCTGTAATATTATCTCATGTTTCATACCATACAGAAATAATAATCTATGTTACATACAGGATTGGTTCAGACACACGGAGGATTGCTTAAGTTACATTCACGATTAGATATGCCCCAACTTCTTCACATTTGAATGCCAAAACAATTATGACCCCCCCCCGCCCCATTTTGATTATTATATGCTCAAACCTTGCCCCCAACAAACAACTTTTCAGGCACATTGCAATAAAGGAATGAAGCCGATGTCTCCAGAAAGGGTAGTAAAAGTGCATGAGTGTGCTGATGAGGTAAGTTTGAGGTATATATCTCAATGAAGTAGTCACTGAAAACAAAATAATGAATGAAGTAGTCACATCACACTCTGTTTTTGACATAAATAAAAAGAATGTTGGTCATTAATGCGTTGCCCAGATAATTAGATAAAACAGAAACGCTTCATCAGCACTTTTCTTGCAACATTGTATATTATAACTTCTACATTATACTCCAATTACAATAAAGTCCTTTCAAAGATGGAGTGGGAGGGGAAGGGGAGAGGTTTCTCATCATGGTCTTTTGCAATGCATCTACCAAGCCTTGGTGTCCGTTCAGGGCTGTTTTGAGGTGGGAGAAAAGGAAATGTCAGGGGGGGGGAAGAGAAAGAGAGAGAGAGAGAGAGAGTGCAATGTCAAGACTGCAGGGTGGCTGAGGCTGGGTTGCAATGCTGTGTTGGGCCAGGAATACCACCTTGTGGAAGGTGGTTTGGCACACCTGTCTGAACTCATGGCACCAACTTCATGCAGGTCTTCCTCATTTGCAATTTTTCGCTCACAATTTTGAGCACTTAGGTTCTGGTCAAATTCATCGGCAATCATGCAAACAATCCATCAACAGTCACTGTTCAGCAAATTCTTCATTCTCGCCATATTTTCGTCAGTTTTGGAGATCGAAGTTCATCCTGAATTTGCGTTGTCTTAAACTTTCTCTCTCCCCTCTCGAAACACCTTGAGCCAATTGAAAATACTTGATCTACCCATAGCGTTATTACCATAAGTCATCTTGGTCATATCATGAGTTGCTTTCCCGGTTTTGCTGAGCCTAACGCAAAATTTGATGGCGTAGCACTATTCCAAAAGATATGCTATGACGCAGTGTCATGGGAGGCACTTGCAGAGGTTACGGAGATAAGTGATCTCGCTCCACTACGGCTGGGAGCCAGTGGTAAGCTGGCTTCCAGCCTTTCCTTAGACTTCTTTCTCTACCAACTCCAGGGAGAGAATCCACTGGCAGTCCGTCCGTCAGCCTGGGAAAAAAATCAGTCTGACTACATTAAGAGACCTTATACTTCAGTCGATGAACTTCTTTTAGGTGGTAACAGGGTGATGTTTGATTGCTTAAACCCTTTACAAACTCATCCACAATGAAATCGATTGCTCTGACCAGCTGTCCTGCATTTCTTATAGCATACCTAGACTTCACTCGAGGGACAATTCTCTGCTAGCTGACAAGCTTTGTAGAACTAGTATGGGTGAATGACTCCTTCAACCAAGTACAAAAGACTGCAAATATTCTTCTCTCAGACATTGACATTTTTCTGATTACTGAGAATAAATTAAGAAATAGACTTGTGGAGCTAGCTGTGAAACAAAATTATGAGATAATGTTTTATTCTGCCTACATTTACAAAGGGATGGAATATAATTGTCAGACTGATTGTATTTCTACTGATTTTAGTATGGCTTTTGATTCCGTTAACCATGTCATTTGTGGCACAAACTTGAACACCTAATGATATGTGCACCATTGTTAAGTTCGTTCTGCAGTTATTTAGCTGATCACATAGAGTTGATTTCAAATGGTGGTGTTATCACTTCATTGCAGCTTCCTTAGGCATTCCACAAGGCTCTCATTTGGGTTCCCTATTGTTTAATATTTTTATTCATGGCATTTGTGAGGTGATCAATGAAGTTTAATACCTGCTCTTCACAGACGATCTTAAGCTCTTCTTGAGAATTCAGTCAGGCAAAGACAGGGATCTCTTGCAACGAGCATTAAATCCTCTGTCTGATTGGTGCATTGCAAATGTGCTTCTCAATGTCAAGAAATGTAAATTAACAACTTTTACCAGAGCTAGATCCATACAGGCTTTTTTTTATCTTCACTCCATTGAGTTAGAGAGTGTCACATCCATGAGACCATCCATTTTTATTTACCATTGTACAACACAACTTATTTTTGTATTTTTATGATGTATTTAAAGTACTGAAAGTGAGCTACTAATTTATCTTATCCCAAATTTCAAGAACTGTCCAATATTGTCTGTAGATGTAGAGCGCTCCTTTTCGGCACAATATTAATTTTGAATGACAAACAGTGCAACAATTTAGAAACTAATGATACTTCAGGATGTCACAGCCTTTTTTCATACTGGTGAGTTTCCTAATCTCTTTTCGATTTCACACCACTGCTACCCTAGCTACTACTAATGGGCTTCTAAAAAGATATTTTTTCACATTTTCTCATTTGTCAACATTGGCTACTAACTGAAGCAGCCTGTCTAAAGGGTTAGATTCTGTGTAAAAAACAACAACAAGAAGTCAGATTTCAACCTCCAGTAAGTTACATACCTCTAAAAACAGTACAATTTGTGGGCTGCTGAAGATCTAGCATGAAGGTAATGCCAAGGTAGAATAAAATCTGTGTATCCTAAATGCAGTTACTTTTGCATTTTCATTAATTTCGCACTCCTTTTCAAATAGTCTGATAAGATTTGATTGTTATGTCATTGTTATCTTGGGTTTCAAAAGTAAATTCTATATCTGCATTTTTAGGAATCATTTATAATATGCTTACTTTGGAATTATCTGAAGATGTCGGATGGCCACATCTTCTGTACAACAGTTAATTTTAGCTTCAAGAATTTGAATTTCCTCTGGGCTAAACTTTACTTTGCGAGGATTTAATACCTCACATGCAAATGGTCTCCCACGACCCAACATTCTCACATCTACATCTTCTCTTCCAGATGACACAAATTTTGATCCTTTAACATCAGTTAAAAACATAAGGTATTGTAAATTTTTCAAATTATCACCTTTTAAAGATCATAAGCTCTTACATACATAGGCAATGAAATTCAGGATACAATTTTTTTAATAGTAAAAACTTACTGAAATTAGGAAAAACTACATGTAAAAAGCGCTGCTTTTCAATTTTTTTTTTATTTTTATATATAATCGAAACCTTCAAGTGAATACGAATGGCCTTATTACCAAAAAAAAACAAAACAAAAACAAAAACAACAACATACTTTTCAGCTGAACATTGTTTCCAATTTCACATTCAAATACAACATGACTGAATGTAGCAGATATTTGTACCTAATCGACTTGTTTAAACAAGACATTCAATGGAAAACCACCTAAAGAATGTGTAAAATTAAGGTACCATAGTTAATAATCATTACCAAATTATCAATGTGAGAATGTTAAATTGTGCGATAAAAAATCTGTAAATTAAAAAAAAAAATTCTTATGATATTTCTGCTGTTGTTACCAAAGATTTCTTCACTTGTGTTTTCAGCTACCATTCCGAAAGCTACTTTTCTTAAATACTATATTCTCGTGTCATAATTCATACTTATTACGAAATGTGCATGAGAAATTTACAAACCATCTGCTAGACAAGCTTTCTCAATGCTACCACAGATAATCTCCTGCACTGAGGATTCCATTCTTCTTTCACCTTCAATGACCCAAGGTGTTTGGCTGAGTGATCGGGAGAATTTATTGTAACAACCTGAAAGTCAAATTTCATTGCATTTGTCATGAACCAAACATTTGAAACATTTATGCATTACAGCATAAATTAGAGAACAACTTTATTTCTAAATAGTAAAAAAATACATTAAAAAATAAATCTTCCCCCAACAAAAATAAAAGTTTTCAATTAAACTCCATTAAGATTTTTAATATTTTATTGAAATGGATTTAGAAAAATATTAAAATTTTTAGATCTATGTATCCACAAGAGCACATGTGGAGGAAAAAATCATTGTAATTAATACTTTTGGCAAAACAGATTCAGGCTGGCAACAAAATTTTGAAAACAAAATTCCATTACTTTCCTCAGTTTTCTAGACCCGTCAACATCAATTTCTTCTCACTATACTGAAATTAATTCAAACCATTTTCAACAAATGACAAGGAATGATTTAAATTTATGATTTAAAGCTAATATTTTTTTGAAAATATAATTGACTTAATATAACAAACATTTTTCTTATTTTTTATCAAATGTTTCTAAAATTATGCTATTTTCACTTCATGCAATCATTACAATTAATAAAAATGCACTCTTTAATTGCTTCGGTGCACAAAACCTTTTTCTTTTGGTGTATTTGTTGACAACATGTCTCAGAAACTTTGCTGGGTGTTGAGGGCTTGCCATGAAGTAATCCTCCATTATTATCTTTGTCAAGTCTCGTCACATCGCAGCCAGTCGGTGCCTTTTATCCCTTTGGTCAGGGGCTCACTGCCATTAGATCCCAGGTTTCCTAGATTGTCACCCAACCTGAACCCCACAGTCTCGAATTCGCTTAACCACCGTGACTTCATGGAGCATAGTAAACAAATTCGGCTAGAGATGCCGGCCGTTTACAACAAATACTGAACTTTTGAAAATTACAAGTTGCAGTTTATATCTACATAAAACCAGATATACAAATTTACAGTCAGTTTACATTCTAACAAAAAACAACTGTTTACCCCATTAGGGGACAGCTTCAACGAAGTTGCATTACTCATTCCGCTTGGCATTCTATCCACCCAGTATAATCCACATCTAGGAACTTTGCATTGCGCGTCCCCCACCCATCACCATTTCTCTTCTCTCTAGTTCGCCAGGCTGTGACCCTACCCAATGATAACCTGCTGAGATAGCCACAGCCTTTTTCAGCTTGTTCTTCGGTCATTGTCCAAATGCCGTGGTGATCCTTGGATCTGAAGCGGAATGATGGTTAATGATAGGAGAGGGTAGGGAATGATTAATGAAGCATTCAAATGAAATTCATATTAGCAGTGGAAATGGGAGAACACTGAGAAAACTTCCCACTTTGTCCACCACTAATTCCACATAGACCCGCCTAGAACCCGGATAGAACCCAGGCACTAAGAGGTGAAATTCGTCTGACAACTATTACCGTGGGCCGCCCATATCTGAACTATAAATGTATAATGTTCTTCATTAATACAAAAAATATTAATGTTCCCACCAATTTTAAGGAAGCTTTGAACGGCCTGCGTGGAGACCGCAGCGTCGCTGGTAAGGCCCACCCCTCTCGGCGACCTTCGGGTTTCGGCTAGAAATCGAAACGCTTACGAACTCAGCAACCATTGAACGATCGCTCCTCTCCCCCGCGTTTCGGCTTGTGATCTGATTCCAGGTCGCGCAACACCCGAGCACAGGAGCCAGCCGACAGGAAAACGCACCTTCACTAAATTTTCAATTAATTAATCAACGATGCCTTTTCCAGGGCGATGCTCAAGCCATGATGCCTGCTCCTGCTGCTGCACCTAACCAAGCAAATTACGCCACTCATAGTCTGGCACAGAATGTAGGAGCGGGCGACGTAACTGGCGATTTGAATTTTGCTCAAAGGCTTCATTTTGGCTTGAGGGTCTTTTACACGCAATAAATTTACAACATGGAATTTGGGTCACCCGGCTTTACTTCCCCTCCGAAGGAACGCCAAAGAAGGATTTTTTCAACCTTGAAAATTCACAGCTTCGATCGGGTTTGAACCCGCAAACTTTGGTACAACAGCACGCTAACCGTTGCCCACCGAAGCTACAAACTTTTCGGCGAGGAAGCGAGCAGTTGGGGTTTCTCCAGCGCGGAGCCCTCCGGGCGTGGGGCACACAAACTGGGCCGCAACCCCGCGATCAGCGCCCGGCCGCGACTCACACAACCGCGCCCGGGTTCCCGAGCTCGCCAGCCGAAGCCGCCCTTCTTGGGAATTCCGTGCGCGGCCCAGCTTGGCTCCTGCCGGTACTGCTGAACCGACCACTCCGCCGCTGATGTCAGTAGTCTGTCAACGAGCACCAGCTAGGAGTCCGCTCCGGGCTCAAGAATTAATCAGTACTACGCAGCGAAATTGCGTTACTGCGCGTGCGTGAGAGGCACGTAATCGCCACCGCCTCTAAGTTGCCCGAAAAAGAGATGAGAGATCGGCCGGCCAGTGTCCCCTGTAAGGAAAATCCCCAACCGTCGTCGCCCCTTTCTCTCAGTGCCCAGATCTACTCATGAGCTCACGAACAATGCCCCACGTCTGAGGTCTTCACACGAAGACGAGAGATCTACAACCATGATTCGGAGATGAGGCGCCGCCGCGAGACCCGCGTTGCGGATTTGCTAAAATGCAATTGGGCGAGAGGCAAAATTGATACGGGAGCGAGACTTTGCGCGGGAAAGCAGGCTTACGAGGTGGGAGCTCGTCACTGAGAACGAGAGAGAAAAATTCCGACATCGAGTAGAACGGACGATGGAAAGACTTCGAGTAGGAGAGACTTTGAATGAAGCGGACGCACCATTTACTTTGAATGAAACAGACGCAGTATTGACTTTGAGAGCAAGCGAAATTGACTTGGAGCATATCAGACTTAGAGTAAACGAGACTGCAGATCACCAATTACACTTGGCTTGCAAAGCTTTCACCGCCAACTGATAATCGCGACCTGAACTGTTGATGATTGACTGCAACGCTTGACACCGCGTAACAGTGACTGATACAATCAAAGACTGCTAATATATCGCACCGGAGACAACGCGGCCGCGGCAATCACGTAATCGCGCGAACTTCGGTGCAGACACCGGGAGATCATTGGATCGTCCTTTCAAAGGCCAGGATACCTGACCGATCGCTAGCGCCGCCCAGACGAGCCGACTCCTTCCAGGGTTAACGACCCCGCACGTCCAACCAACCCTGCCGCCATTGCAGCCCCTTTCCGCTGCATAACGGGCTTCATTTACACGACATAGCTTCAATGGGCGCTACCTTTCTCCATTGACAACCGAATCACGGTCTCCTTGACTGTGAGTAGAACAACATTGTAATCACGAGACGCGCAGTATGACGTGTTGTGAACGAGTCAGAACGGAATTATTAGACTTATAAACCGGACTGATGAACAGTCAAGAAAGAAGATCGTAATGCTTGCTCGTTGTAATTTTATTTCATGTAATTTAAAGTTTAAGTGAAATATTGTAGTAGTATATGCAAAAAATTCATAAATAAATGAGTGGGCTCCCTTCAGGAACCACGTTGAAAGAATTGTTTGAAATTTGATTCACTAGTGCATGTTGAGTATACCTAATCCCAATCTCATTGAAAAGTCTGACCCAGAGAGACCCAAAGTCCTGAAGACAGTCTCGGGTCTATCGAGAGTTATCCCGATAGAAATCTTCGGGACCCGTCGAAAATCGGCGTGTAACGTATGTTGCGCGTAACTTCCTGCTCCAGCATTCACCTGGTGTTGATTGAAGAAGACATGGAAAACAGGTCAGGGTAGCCAAATGCTACATTTCTCCTACAGCGACTAAACTTGACCAAGCTACATAGCTTGTGTCGAAAGTTCTGCCCCCGCCGGAATTTGAACCTTAAGATATTACGGTCAAAGGAACTGCAGTGACATCAATTGATGCTCTGAGCCACGTAAGGCAGTCCCTTTGTCTTTGGATATCCATGTAGAATTGTTTACCAACATCATTAAAGTACCTACTCCTCATAACTGGATCTCAAGTACCTAAAAATATTTGCTGGAAATTGATTTGTAGGTCGCATAATGATTACTGGAGAAAACAAGATTCCCAATTGTGATATTAAATTTTAGTGTAGATACGTATGATTTTATTTACTTGCAGATGGTTTTAATCGACACATATTCCGATTAAAATGTACACTTGATAGGTACACCTCAGCTTCAGCAGTTGCCATTAATAAATAAATATTATATATAGAGATATATTGGTAAGTCAACCTATATGGCCTGGTCTCTGTTCATCTACAAAGGCAATAAATGAACTGAAAATGTGTTTTATGTCGTCTCTATTCTCTCTGCCCTTGAACGTCTACAGTGTAGGTTAAAGAAAACTTCAGTCACAATCAATTGTTGAAAGAACAGTTATAGTTTCTTCAGCTCATAGCTGTCTGTATTTGCCAAATGCGCGAGATCTGTCTGTAGATATATTTATTTTCTGCATGATTTGGTGATGTTAATTTACAAAATACTGTATATTGATTGTAGAAAAGAAATGACAGATATTATTGTTAAAATATTGTCACCCTAAAAAAAAAACAGAAAACTTGAAACCATGATATTTTTTAAAAAATTATAGTATTTAATTCAACAAAAAATATTTTTACTGTCCAAATAGATGAAATTTAAGGTGTTCAAAACCCCAAAAGGAAAGTAATACTTATAAGTGGACACAAATTTAACTACCAATATTGCAAAATTGTTGAAAATTAATTTTCTTCAAAATGTAATCTTACCCGCAAAATAGATGGAGTTGTGACTGCAGGATACATCATTGTAAGAAACAAACGATGTCGGAATTGGTGGTGGTGTTGAAAAATATTTTTTGAAATGATCTTTATCAGTGGAATTAAGAATTGATTCTACACTCTTTCTTGTAAATAAACTTCCATGATATTTCCGTTTGTGATTTTTTCTTTCATTAAAAATCTCTTCATGCATCTGTAAACTACAGTAACAAAATTAATTACAAATTTTGTCAAGACATTTTTCAAAATACGCTGGAAATAAAACTACAAATAAAATCAAAAATATGACATCATTCCAGGAACAGGGTCTTAAAAACCAAGTACGACTCAAAAAGTGTCTACATGTTTAAAAATAAGAATCTCCCGATGAATTACTGCATTTTCAATATCTGCAGTAATCTTTAATGAGAAATGTAAATATAAGATTGTCTAAAGGGCAGGTATCTTAATTCTTGAAAAAGAGAAATACTCACAGACAAGAACACTCTTCTTCATCATCTGGATAATGCACACCAATTGCAACAGAAAAATCACAAGTAGCACCAGAATCAAAATCTTTACCTATTTCTTTTGCAATTAATGGACATAGAGTCCATTTCCAAACTTTAATAGTAGTTATAACATTTTCTTGTTGCTCATCCACATTTGGAAATAGCAAGGGAAATTTATCAACTAAGTAGAACCATAAAGAGTAGGCACGAAGTTGAAATGCAATGGGAATGGAAACTGCACATGAAAAATTTTTACTATCATATCCTTTGGCATTAACATATGTCACAATCTGAAAAAAGAAAAGAACATTAATCTATATTACAATTAGCACCCACAAAAACATCTCCCAATCTTTTGACACCTCCATATGTGTGCACTTTAGGTGGAAACCAACAAATTCCAGAATCTCAACTCATCTAAATTATTCTGCATCACACACCTCTCATGAATATATACTGGACACTATTCCCACTTTGGCCTGTGTTGTCTACATGCATAATTGTTCAAGTAATTTCAAAAACCGAAAATTAAAGCCAATTTTAAGATTCTGAGTTTTTCCTTTAGGTAAACACTCACTGTTTTGACCTTCTGTATTCAATCTACCTTCAGCCTCAATGATACTCAATTATATGTAGTGAATGTTTGTGCTTCAAGGAGTTTTATATAATCTACTATTGTTTTTGAGGTTCCTTGACATGAAGAAAAAGAACACTAGCCAAATTACTTAATTACACTCCATATAGTCACCAAGGTTAAGCAACTGGAGCCATTGTGAGTTCCTGAATTGGTGATCGTCTGGGAACCTTGGGGATCTAATGACCCGAAGCCCGTGGCCAAAAGGATAAACGGCAACGACAGACTACAACTGAATTGAATTGAATTTGCCTTATTTTACGTGGCGAGACTCGGGCCATCAGGCCCGCTCTTCCGTCTGACCACGCAAATTTTGCTACGCTCCTTTCATCAACTAGCAGAGAAAGGAGGTATTTCTTGGGCGAGAAACAGGCGATTTTGAATTTAGCTCAGAGGTGTCATTTAGACTTGAGGATCTTATACATGCAAGTAAATCTACCAACATGGGACAGCTGCTTTACTTCCCCTCCGAAGGAAGGCGTACGAAGGATTTTGTCGCCCTAAAAATCCATGGCTTCGATAACTGCCTAGGCCACAACAACTGACTAGGTCAAAGGAGGATTACTCCACTCAATGTTCAATGGCAATATGTGGTTACACTGGGTGTCCATCCCCTATAACTTCTTAGTGGCTCACAATATCAAAATGCAATTTTCGCTTCATAATATGGAATTATGAGACAAGTAATATGCTGTACAGATATTGTGTAAAATATTTGTTTTTTGAGAAATTTATTTATCTTTGATTTTTTTAAATGTAACTCCATGTTTTTCTCATTAAGAATGGATAGATCATAAAAAGAGAAATTCAAAATGTATCACTTATTAATATTTTAATAGTTGTTTCAAATAAAAATCATGCTTTCTGCATGTTATTTTAAATTAAACTGCCGAAATTTCCTATTGCCCTTGCAACTGGCACCTTTGAGGAAGATGGCCTTCGACGTGACGAGACATACAGGGAAGAGGAGAGAGAGTGAGGGTGCAATTCCAGCAATCTATGGTCTTGACTAGAAGCACAAGGGAACAAACACCAATATTAATGATTCGAGAGAATGATTTTTTTATCAATTTGCCAAAATTGAACTTCTCTCCCAGTAATTGAAATTCCAAAGTATCTACCATTGAAATTAACAATATAAACAAATTGGTAGTAGAAGGAAAATACTAGCAAAGACCATTTTCAAACTTATCAAGAATGGAGCTCGATGTCTAATGGCTATAAAAACAAGACAGCATTTTAAAACATTTCAAAAACAAGGAAAGGGAATATTAATTAACTGTAATATCTCCAGATAATTCATCAAATTTTAGATACTAAACAGAAATATTGTTATTATTTACTTCTGTTATTAGATACTGTTACTCTTCTCATTGTAAATTAACAAAAATAAATTGTCAGAGATAACAATAGATAAAACAGAATACAAATATGTACATAAATTATTTACACTTATGCTTTACATCCCCTGGCAGCAATGCACATCCGCAGAAGTGTGTGCAAGGGCCAAAAAAATCACTGCAATGTTCTGTGCAACTATAAATCGAAGATGAATAAATTACTCTTAAACTAAAAATATTCTACACAATATGTCTATATCATATTACGCCATGATTCTGCATTGTTGAGAGAAAACTGCTTTTTGATATCTTGTACCATTTAGAAATTATGGGGGTGCATGTAAGTATGTGGGGAAAGTATGGGGGCCCACCTGTGCTACAAATTATTGTAACATGACTTATGGAGAAAGGCCTGATTTGAGCCATTTTTCTTGGTATACTTTACAAACTAATAAATAATAATAATAATAATTATTATTATTATTATTATAAAAATAATACTAATAAAAAATAAGGTGGAGGATACTCTGTGATGTATTTAATTTCCGTATTAATTAATACTATTTATTAGAAAACTGGCTTTACTTCCTTTTTGGTAGGCAAAACCAATTAAGAGAGACATATTGTTTCAAAAATAGATCAAAAGTATGTTTTGAATGCTGGAAAATGATCTGTTTTCTGTAATGTAAAAATAATAGAAGCACATTTAGAAAAACTTGAATTAATCAAAATTTTCCTAAAATTTCTCCAAAAATTAAATAAAATCATACTAGCCGACATAAATAGCCAAGGTCACTAAGGCTGAGTGTCTGCTTTGTGTCTGAAGGGTCAGAGGTTGGAATCTCATCTGGGCATGGGTGTTTGTGTGTGTGTGTGTGTGTGTGTGTATAAAGGTACCATTACAGTTGTTTACTAAGTTACAGAGGTTGTTATATGACCTTAGTAGTTGACAAGCAACTTTAAATTAAAAAATAAAATCATAACCTTATAGCACAATTTTAAGCAGTGCTAATAAATATTATTTGGAAACAGACATCAGGACCAGAAAATACAAAGAAAAAAATAAATATACATTATTGGAAAGAAAATTCATTAACAACACATCGTTTCTGACAAGCATCAAAACATACTCTTCATGATCTTAAATACCAGTATGTATGCTTTTCATACCTTGACAAGCCAGTAACCCTAATCTGAGCAGTAAACAAAACATTTCATTGTAATGAATTAGCAACCCATGCCATTTTGACATGAAAATTACATTATACCATACCTTCTTAACAGTGTCTTCAGTGTTAATTCCTTGAAGTAAACCCATACACACAACACATGGGTTACATTTCATCTGCTTTGACTTGGGATCATCTGATGAAATGTCTTCCAATCCTTTCTAAACACAACAAATGAATAGCAGGTGTACAAATAAAACAAGTTACAATATCAAATCAATGAATAGTACCTTTGTCACCCATTCATCCACATCTTGATAAGCCTCCGGCGTTCTTTCCCCCATATACCTCAAGCAGCATCTCTTACAACAACCCACGCTACGAAGATCATCATACACATCTGAATGGCCTGAAATTCCAAACACTGCCATATTATAGAATGGTCTATCACAAAGTTGCAGGTCAGGCCTTATTACATTTAAACCACGGTATAAGACAGGTGTAAGATACAGTACTTTAACCACTCAATCCCATTCGTATTATGAGAAAAATACTGGGGATGTGTCGTTCACGAACGAACTGAATTGAACCACAGTATAAGAACTGATAAGAACCGTGAACTGTAGAGACGTTCAGACACCATAGAGGAGAGATACAACTAGAGTGCGCGTGAACCTACTGCGCAGGTTTCAACATGCAGTCACCGCAAGTCACGTGACTTTGGGACACCGGCAGCTTGTTTTGCCATGTATTGTGTGTACTTTTGCGTGTTGTTTGTTATTTCTGGTGCTACAGCGTAATTATTTGGGGGCCTACAAGTTTAGCTAGTCTCACCTGGAAATGTTTTTCAACTGCATACGAAGCAAAGGTGGATTCAACAATAATCCTACTGCTAAGCAAATTGCCTGGGCTTACAAGCGATTACTGATGCGTCACCAGATTTCTTCTTCTGCCTTCGCGAATTGTGTTCCACAGGATGAAACAACTATATTAAATGTTAGTTCACGTCAGCATGCAAGTGTGTCACTAGTGAATGATCCATAACTGTGCCAATTCACCATATGTACTTGCCATCAGTAGACAATCTTCAAACTAGATCGTCTCCCTATGTCGTGGACATTGTAACGTGTATTAGAGGATTTGTAGTAAAAAAATGGAAATTTCCCTTGTTTGTGTTGACTGTAAGATAGTTCTTTGCCGGACTGATAGAGACGAAGACTCATATTCCTTCATTCAGAGGAAGGATGATCATGGGCTGAAATACCCTTCTGTAGATGTTCTGAAAATAACAGAAGTAGAAGTAAGAATACTTCAAGGGAGAAGTGACAGTTTTCAAAGGGCAGCTTGCACTACAATTGTAAATAGATGTTTGAGAGAATTTGTAAGTAATTCCGTTTTTGTAATTTAACTTATCATATTATTGGTTTAGAGGCCATACTGAATCATAGGATGTATTTGATTAAGGCAATATTATTTAAATGTATTGAAATTAGATTAAAACATATGGGAAGAGAAAATACTGAAATTTACCAGAAAAATAGAATTAGATCAGTTAATAATAAAATTATGTTATTTAGAGGGCATTAATGTGTATGTATTTATTGGTGTTAGTAGTATATTAGTGTTTATGGTTTTTATGATTGTATTTGATTTTTATTAGTAAATTCTTTGAAAATTATGTATTTCAGCGTCTGGGTCAAAGACCCCCATTTCGATCAGGTTTTGTCCAATTTCCCTGATCTATTGAGTTTAAATGTAGCTTCACTATGCGCAAGTTTTGTTGAGCATTCCTTTTGCTTTTAGTGTAAAGCGAATGTTATGATACTGTTTTGTCAGTAATACAAAAAAAAATATTAAAACCTGCTGATTGTTTATTGATGGAAATAAGTTTTGTATAACTTGGGAGGGAAAATGTCTAATGGCTATAGTTGAAATGTTGGGAAGAGATTTTTGAGCTCAAGAAAATGTGTGCAGATGGTACTTCTCCTCCGTATGTCACATACAGTATTTAATGTTTTTAACTAAATATATCAAAATAAAAGTTTGTTTCCCCTCCTCTACAAATCCTTGAAATATTTTGATTACTTGCTGTTATATGTCTGATGTGGATTATGAATAGCAGAATGTCTAGCATTGCGTTGTAACAGAAACTTTGATTAATGCCTCCCATGGAGTTAATTTATTTTACAAATATTTTTTTTATTTATTTTCCTGTGTAATAGAACTTGTAAAACAGGTGTAGTGGGGTACGCGGTTGAGAGTGACAAGTTGGACAAAAATTGGAACTTTCATGCACTTAATAAAATAGAGCAGAATAAATTAAAGAGATTTTTCTGCTATAAGCAACATTCATAGGGATGTGTAATAAATGAGAAAATAACGCTAGAGTGAAGCATATTAGATACTTATTAAAGTTAGTACGAGACGGGTGTATAACAGCTATCCCAAAGTCACGTGACTCGGGCGCGAGAGATGTTGATAGTATCAACTTGATACCCGCCCGGGCCTTCTGCGCACTCTAGTATATCTCTACTCTATGTCAGACACGGCGTAAAATATATCTTATTTCGTGGTTCAGAAAAACTGACTTCCACAAGACGTAAGCGAAATGGTGAAGTCAAGACTGCCTTGGTTAAATCTTTTCTCACAAATCGCTCATGGTCAATGTGGGTAAAGCGAGATCCTCGAAACGGAGGATTGCGGCCGGAGTCCCTCGTGACTCCGTCCTCTCTCCGCTACTGTTCTCGCTGTATGTTAATGATATCCCACATATACCACGAATACTGCTCTTCCTTTATGTTGATGACATAGCAGTCTTAGCAAGAGGAATAAACCTAAACCAACAACTCAAAATACTTTAAAAACAGATGAACCTGACGCTGAAGTGGGTGGAACAAAACCACTTGACTTTATCAGCGGAAAAGTCACAGGCAATCTGTTACATCCGCGGCAAACACAAATACACTAAATGTTTTACATCACAAAGCGTCTAGACCACTTCCCCTGCATTTATCGAGACGAATGAGGTGGCATTCGACGCGTCTCGGTCACCTGATGGGGAACTGATAATTTGTTTTCCGATCTCGCCAGAAGATTCAAAGAAATTTCCAAAAACGCGTTTTTCTTGCTTTGGCGCTATAATCTTAGTAAAAATGACGGGAATTAAACCAACGCCTCCTAAATCGATCTATGTAGGTTGCGTTGGTTAAATACCAGAACCCCAAATCATTTTTTTACTTTATACAGCACAATTTTCTTTCACGGCGTTGGTAACACTGATGTTGACATTTTTAAGGAACAACTGAGTTACTACGTATATCGTGATGCAGTTTGATTTCAATTTAGGGTCGAATTATCGTATTTTTAAAAACAAATTTGCAAAAACCTACGAACAGTATTGTCTTGGAACTTATTGAACTTGAAGAATTTCAAGTAAATATGGAGAAAACAAAACTGTGAGTAATGCCAGAGAATTAATTATCGTTATGATCGACTTCGCACTTTCACGTTCTTACATAAGTGTGAAATACCGATTTTCAAATGAATGTGACCCACAACTTATTCTTACTCAAATTAACTAACATATTACTCAAATAAACATTCAAAACAGTCACCTTTTAATATTTAATTTGCATGCAACGATAGATTCGCATACAAAAGATTAATCGAGCAAATGCAGAGGTAGACGTAAACACAAATTAAACAGGGTTTCTAAAGCTTTAATCTCTTCAAAAATTAGGGGGGAAATATGGAAGTTTTAAGGATATCCGGGGAAGAATCAAATGGAATTGTAAAAAATTTTGTGATATAATTTTCGGAATTAATTGGGAATGATTTGCATTTAGAACTTGTGCTACTAATGAAAAGTGCAATGTGCATATTACCAAAAAAGCGTAAAAATGTAGCTCTACTAAAATTTAACTATTACCATCATCAAAACCTTTAAGTGTTTGTTATGGCGATTATAATTTTGAAATTGCAATAAGACCAGTTCATATCCCGTATGGAGGTAACACAAGGCATTGGATATAGTGAACTTTTGAACGAGAATATAACATATATAACAATAAGCTACTACGATTCATTGGTAAGTCCAATGTCAGATATCGACAGAACATTATTAAAACCAAGCTGGACATGAAAGAAATTTTCAACACATGAAACTATTTGTAAAACTTTGTATTCAATTCTATTTATCAGCCCCATCATCGTCGTCGGAAGACGAATATTATCTTCCGAAACCAAGAGTTCTTCGGGAGAGAGAAAATCTCACGGCCGGGTTTGGCGACCTTTCAAATTGCGGTTCAGATTGTCCAAGAACGTGATAAGAATATTCTTTATGAAATTGGGCATCACCACGCACACAAAGAAATATGGTAATTTTAGCCCTAACGCAAATTCTAATTTGCCTAAGATTTTATACGGTACATATTAAACAGTGATATGGAACAGTTCAAAAAAGTACTGTATGTAGCATAAGTAGGATCACTCATATCGTTATGCTTCGACAGCAGTATGTGAAAATGCCAGACAATGAATTGGAGCTGTGGGAAACGAGCTGGATTTTGAGCAGGTTTTCCTAATGTAGTAGACTGCATTGGTGGAATCTGTGTAAAATTCGGTTTCCAGGTGGTGACGGCGAAGAATATTCAGATGTTCAAAATGTTACGTAGCTGTGATTGTTTCATTAGTTTGTGATTCAGATATGAAATTTTGTGATGTCGCAAGATAGTTTATTACCATATAGTTTTTGACTCGAGCTGTTTCTAGCGAGCCCAGTTTGAGGCAAATGAGTACGGAAATGGCTACTTACTGGGCTAGTGTGACGTCATGGATACTCACAGCGACCACAGACACAGAGCTTTCGTATAACAATATATTTA